TTTCAAAAGGCTTCTCTTCAGAAGTGTGCTCCCAGAAAGACACAGGTAATTTTTGGTGAATGTTAATAAGGTTGGAGGAACTTCTGTTAACTCATAGATTAGATCAGATGTGAGGTCTCTCTACTTTTTGTCCATCATATTTTGCTACATATTTATAAAGGAAGAGAATAAATGGTACAATGTCAGTCCAATTGGTCTTTGTTCTTAAATTTAATGGGGTATTTGCCTGAATTTTTATGGTTCTTCCATTTACTCCCCAAAGTGTCTTCATTTAAATATCAGAAGCTTTGCATAACATTCCACAGAATATACTGTTGTTTGTAAATAAATGATGTAACAAACTTCTCCCACCCTAAAAGCAAATCACAGAGTCATGGCTGCTTTTGCTGTCATCCTACAAGGACAGACAAGCCACACCTTCCTGCTCCTTCTCCTATTCCTCGTGTTAGTCCTTGCCAACATCCTGGGCAGTTTACAAACACTCCTGAGAGCTCAGTGTATGCCAGGCACAGTGTGTTATTTTACATGTGTTGTTTCATTTTATTCTTCCGGCTCTCCACAAAGTCAATTGCATTACAATCCCTTATTCCCACTCGTTCCATCTTTCAATTTATCAAGAGCCTGCTTTGCTATGAAAACATTTCTCATATCTGTTTACTGTTTTTCATCTCGACCACCAAGCAATCACCAGCTGGGCTTGTTCAGTGGGTCATACCCTTCTTGGTCCTTCTTTTCTTTTTGTATTCTCCAAGCTCCTTCCTTTCTCAAAACCTTTGCACTTGAGTGAATACACTGCTTGAAATGCCTTCCACATGAGGTCACAGAACCCTTCTTGTCACCTTATTTTTCTTCATAGGATCTGCCTCTCTTCCAAATTATATATTGTATATATATTATGTATTGTGTATATATATATATATATATATATATATATATATATATATATAGAGAGAGAGAGAGAGAGAGAGAGAGAGATACAGATATAGATATAGATAGGTATATAGATATAGATAGTTATATTTGTCACCTGTCTTCCATCTTTGGAGCTGCATGAAGTCAGGGGCCTTTCCTGCTGAAATCTCAACAGCCAGAACATATGTTGCCATAGTGGTGGTTGACTGCATTACTAACTGCCAAGAACTCAATTATACAGGCCAAGAAACAGGTCAAGTAACTTGTCTTACTCCACACAGCTACAAGTTGGCATGGATATACCAACTAACTGCTCACATTCATTTGGATTTTTTTTAATAAAATATTTCTTACTTCCTGTGAGTTTGGAAAATGCCAAAGTGCTTTGTGTTCCTTCCCAAACAGTCCAGAAAAATCATTTGATTGCTTTCAAAAGGGATGGCAGCTCACTCTTATTAGCATAAGAACCAGCAGGGGTCTCCTCCACTACCTTTGATGTGGTCACTAAATGGGGAGAGAGGGTCTGCCATGGTAAACCCTCTGCCCACAAGCCTACAGCCCGCACCACTCCAGCCATATTCCCTGTGGGATGCACCGTCACAGGAGAAGTCATACTGTTTCCAAAGTGGCTCCCGGTAACTCACTACAGGGCATTCCCTTGAATTTGCTGCAATTGGATGGACATTTTGTTTGTCGATTTTTGTTGTGCTTTCTTTCTCCTTTGACCCATTAAGCCCTTAAATGCTGATTCCGTATATCCTAACTGATCTGCTTAGCCCCTTTTAACTACCAAGTGCTTTCAATGAGATTTTCAAGATGCTTCTCAAAGGTCTTCATTCAAATGTTGGAAACGTAACATGTCTTTACTCCTTGTTGTGTGCCCATTTGTAAGTTGAATGATTCTGAGAGACAGACCAATTTTGAATTCTTAAAGAGTTTCTGAAGCAATTTACAAAAATAGGCAAACTTTGTATACTTCTGCTACTTTTCTCTGGAAAACAGACACTGAGAATGATAAAGTTTGAATTTATAGGTAGAGTCATGACAAGATTCAGTTCTCCATGGACAACACCACTTTGGATTTGGACAAAGAAGTCAAACTTGGACACATGGGATTTCTTATGTTAGTTTTCCTACTTCCAGCTCCATTTGATATTTCCAAGATAAAAAGTTTTTAAAAGGCAAATAAGACCCATGTCTTCTGAATTTGAATGAAATTTGTATGATTGCAAACATTATTTCACATTGTCCAAGAATTCACTTCTTAGAAGAACCAAGCACATAAGATTAATAGAACAGCATTTGTCTAAGGGTAAAGCCCAGAAGGCAGGAAGGAATAGGGTAGAAGTATTAGTGGAAATGAGAACAATAAGGAGGAAGTGGGGGAAGTGTGATTACATTGAGGGTACTGTAATTTTTTTAAACAAAATATGTATGAATGATTGAATGGAAAAAAGAAACTGCTTTGCAAACTTTTACTCAACTCATACACAAAAACACACATAAATTATCACAGTCTTGGACAGGCTTGTGTTGTTGCTAGGTGCTGTCGAATCGAGTATAACTCATGGTGACCGTATGAACAGCAGACCTGAAACTTGTCCTATCCTGTGCCATCTTCACATTTCCTGACACACTAGAGCCCTATTCTGTCCTACAGGGTCTATGTGAGTCGGAATTAACTCAATGGCAATGAGCAGTATGGGAAGATAGGAAGTCTGATCAAAAGATGAACTGTCAGTGGGAATGGAGAGAATAATGAACAGAGAATGTAAACGGAATGGTTCTATAGACTCAAGTTGATGGTCAGCACACAGTATTAGACCAGAATCCCCATACAAAGTCTCATTCTTGGCTTCAATCATGGAGCACTGCCTTCAGAAAAATCTATGAGGATAAGAAATATATTCTTCTTAAGGGGCTCCTGTGGTTTGATTTATTTTCATTTTTTATATTCTTTTTTTTT